GTTCCTTATCTTACCTCTTGGAGGCTTTGAGGAGATTAAGAGAATACATGAAAAGGGTTTACTGTGGTGTCTGGCATACAGTAGGTGTTCGTTATTATTAAAAAGGCATGGCTCCTTGCTCATGAGGTGCTACAGTCTAGATAAGAGATGTACTAAAACCAACATAGTTCTCAGTATTCAGATTCTAGGTGTTAAGTCAGGATTCAGAGAAGGGAAAGATCAAAGTGGGCTTCCCACAAGGAGAAGCCTTTGTGGAAGAAGTGGGGATTGATCTGGGCATGGAAAATTGGGTAGAATTTGGATTGTTAAGGAGAAAGATAGAATGTACCTAGTGGAACAGCATAAGCAAAAGCTCAGAGGCAGGAAGGAATATGACAGGATGGGAAGAGGAAGGAGTCTATGACAGATACCAGCTTGGGAACTTGTTGGAAACAAAGCTAATAAAGTCTTAGAGGGCCTCAGATATCAGGTTAAGGAGTTAAACTTGTAAGCTGTAAAGAGTTACTAATTTTTTTTAAGATTTGTTTTTTTATTTTCATTATAACTTATTTTGGTAAGCTTGAAATACAAACATTTTAATATACATATGTAAGATATAAATGTATATTTTGTATAAAAAACTAAAAAGAAAATATAAAATAGGTTTAAGAATTAAAAAGAACATTACAGGGAATTCCCTGGGGGTCCAGTGGTTAGGACTCCATGCTCTCACTGCCAAGGACCCGGGCTCAGTCCCTGGTCAGGGAACTAAGATCCCACATGCCGCGTGGTGTGGCCAGAAAAAGAATAGATTAAGGGAAAAAAAGAACTTTACAGTTATCCATAATCCCACTGCCCAGTAGTAATTATTTTGATTTACCTTTTTTCAGTCTTTTTTTTTTTGGCTGCACCTCGCAGCATGTGGGATCTTAGTTCCCTGACCAGAGATCAAACCCGTGCCCACTGCATTGGGAGTGCAAGTCCTAACCACTGGATCACCAGGGAAGTCCCTGTGCATATATATTTTTATAAAATTAGGATCACTGCATAATGTTTTCTTCATTGAATGTTAGGTAGTAAGCATTTCTCACATCATTAAATAATCTAAGAAATCAAAGTTTTTATTATTATATCATAATCCATCGTGCAAGTGCGTCCCAGTTTATTTTATCAGAACGCCTTAGTGGGCATGAAAGTTGTTTCTGATTTTTTGCTATTTTAAGTAACACTGTGATAAACGCCATTGGACATAAACTCCTAATCATTTCTGCGTAGAATTAAGAATAATTTTTTTAGAAACAGAATTACTATTCCAAAGAACATTAACTTTTGAAAGGTTTGCTAATAGAATTGAGCAGCTGAACATGACATTTTGAAAGTTTTAAGTAGATTAAGCAAGTAGTAGAAATTCACAGCTCCTTCTCAGTTTCCCAGTTTCCGCTGCTTTTGAGCTCTTTAGTCTTTAACCTTGATCCTTGTGATACAGAGGGACGGATGTCTGTCTAGGACCGGATCTCTGCCCTCGTGATTTGTTTCATGTGACCATCAACCATCCACCCTGTTGTCCAGTGATACACATTCCACCCTGACCCTCAGCTTGTCTCATTTCCCCTGTCACAGTTGCCTGTGTCCCTGGAGAGCTACACAGCGCCTCCTGAAGACAACCTGGCCCTTCTTCAGCTTTACTTCCGGGCTCTGGTTACTGGTGCGCTCCAATCACACTGGTGCCCTGTGCTCTATGCTGTGGCCGTGGCTCATGTCAACAGCTTCATCTTCTGCCAGGACCCAAAGAGCTTGGTAAGTTACGTCCCCATCTCCAGAGGGAGGGAAGGAACCTGCAGTTGAACTGAGCCAGCTGGGGAGGAGGTGAGGTCCAGGCCAGGCGAGTGATAGGCCTGTGGCCTGGTGCCACCTCTCCCTCTTCTGCCTCTAGGATGAGGTAAAGGCTGCCCGCAGGAGCATGTTGCAGAAAACTTGGCTGCTGGCAGATGAGGTAGGGCGGGGCACATCTTGGAGGGTGGGAGAATGGAGGGTCTTGGGGAACAGAGATCTCAACAGGATCTCACTACCCACTTCATAAAGTTTCTTCCTTCTCTGCAGGGTCTTCGGCAGCACCTTCTCCACTATAAGCTTCCTAATTCTGCCCTTCCAGAGGGTTTTGAGCTGTATCCCCAGTTGCCCCCTCTGCGTCAGCAGTACCTCCAGAGACTGATCTCAGGGGTGCTCCAAAATGGGGTTTCAGAGACCTAGTATAGCTGCTGCAGAGGAAGAGATGGATACATTCTCCTGGGGTTCACCAACAGATGCCTGGCCAGAGAGAAGGGCTTTGTGTCCTAAGAGTGTGCAGGAAACAATAGAGCAGAAGGCTTGCCTTCCTAGGAGCAAGCTCTTTGAGTTTTTTTGGAGATTGGTGAGCCTACCCTTATGTCCTGATACCTGGAGCTCAGGATCTGGGGCTTCTGAGGGTCTGTGCTGGGAGTGAGGGGTGACTTAGCTGTATACCCCTTCTTGGGGACAAGACCTACTAACTACACCTCTTCCTCTCCCCACTTCAGGCCAGGGTATATGAATACTGGAGCTGAGCATTGAAATAAAGAATTTTTTTATCTTCTGGGAATTTGATTTGGACTGATTTCAGATGTACTAGTTCAGGATTGGTATCGAGGAATGGGTTATCTCTGGGGGAGTCAGGGCCACTGTGAGAGACATGGGGGAGGAATCATGAATGGGAGGTGAAAACTGAGTCCACATCTGGGACAACAAAAATGTGGGTCCCAGTTCTGGAGTGAAGCCAGGCCAGGGCGGTGCTCTTGGGAATGGGGGGCGCTTCTAGAAGGACTCTCATCAGTCCGCTTGGAGTGTAGGTGTGCTAAATGAGGTTAGCATCTTGTCTCCTTATGGTCCCCTATTTCCATCAACTGCGATCATGAGACAAGAAGAAGCCAGAAATCAGACTGGTGCAGTAGCTGTCTATCTTAAATCTGTTTGGGCTGCTATCACAGAATACCACAGGCTGGGTGGCTTTTGAACAACACACATTGATTTCTCACAGTTCTAGAGACTGGGAAGTCCAAGATCAAGGTGCTGGCAGATTTGGTATCTGGTGAAGGCCTGCTTCCTGGTTCATAGGCAGCTCTCCCATGGCAGAAGAGGCAAGGGAGTTCTCTGGGGCCTCTTTTTATACAGTCACTAATCCCATTTCACCCATGAAGGTGGAACCGTCATGACTTACTTCCCAAAGGCCCCACCTCCAAATACCCTTAATTTGGGGATTCCATTTCAATGTATGAATTTGATGGTGGGACTGTGGCGGGGGCTGGGAGGGGAGGTGGAGTGAAAACATTGTCTATAGTGCTGTTCTACAACACCCCTTCCACTGTGGACTTTATTGGTGATAGGCAAAGGCTGGGGAGGAGTGGATCAAAGCGTAAACTCTTGATTCATTGGTTTCTTTCTTTCTTTTGGTAGTTTCTAGGTTCTTTTGCCTGAATTCCAACACTAAGCTTTCTTACAGTGTCATTTGCTGTGAGGAATTACTTGCCATCATTGTGTTTATAGGTCAGGGTGAGTGCAGTGTGCTGTCAGTAGGTAGAGAAACCACTCGCCATAAACGGAGCTGCCGAACACAGAATCATACGATACACTTCACTCAGCAACTCCGGTATCTGCAAAACAGCAATAGCTCTCAAACTTACGTGAAAAAAAATCCCCTGGACAGTGAATTAAAACAGATCACCGGACCCTACCACCAGTGTTTCTGATTCAGTAGGTCTAGGGTGAAACCCAAGAATTTGCATTTAACAAGTCCCCAGGTACTGCTGCTGTCCAGAACCAACCGCGCTTGGGGAACTATTGATTTACAGGGACCTTGCAAAGTAAATTCTGTGACCTCATAGTGAGAGTTAAATAAGGCATGGGTACCAAACTTAAAAAAATCACTGTTGTGTCTACACCTGGCACTCTACACTCAGAGACTTTACCAAGTAGCTAACTACTATAACTTCTTTTTTTCAGTGTTTTATATTAAGCAGGCCTCAGCCACTAAAATTGGTATTTTGAGCAAAAGAATGAGGAAGACACAAAACCACCTGACGGCTGTGTGGCCCCCTCAGTTGTCGGGTGCTTTGTGGTTTACAGAGAAACTTCCCTTCCTATGGTTTTGCAGGTGGTAGAGAAGCTGTCTCAGAGCTGTTGTGATTTCTTCACCAAAACCAATTGACTAGGGATGCTAATACTAGCACTCTGGTCCTCTAACATCAGATCACCAAAATCACAGTAAGAAGTTGTGCACAGAGTTGACGCGGGCAACGGAATTGTACGAGGTGAACCCTGAGATCCTTCGCATCCTGGGGTCTGAGGTGGGAGTGGCCAGGCCGGCTTTAGGACCCAGCGGTCTCCAGTGCGCGACTGGACACTCCTATAAGCGGCCGTCTGGGCTGAAGTCGCAAGGTCTGACTCTGCAAGTCTGGCTGCAGTGGGCCAGTCCGCTCAGCCGGCTGCTGCTGTGGCTCAGAGCTGTGGGTAAGTGCCTTTTGGCAGTCAGGGAACCATCATGTTAGAGGCAGCTTCCTAGGCTTGGGGACCACAGTCGAGACAGAAGGGGTCCCAAGTGGCTCCTGCAGAGGCCTCGAACTCTTGCAGCCAAAGCTCCTGGGTCAGTGTGTGGGGAGTGCAGGCAGAGAATTGCAGGGGTGAACCTGAGGATCCAGGTATCGGCTGGGGAAGGAGGGACAGGCCCTAGAGTCTCAGCACCGCCTCGGGGCAGAACCACCAAGGTAAGTCGAGAAAAGACGGGGGACCTGAAGGACCGAGTTCAGCTTGGTGCTCTAGGCATCCACTGGGAAGGGTTCTCCAGGGGAAAAACTTGCAGAGACAAAAGCAGGCACCACGACCCTTTCCACCCCCCTCCCCCAGCCCTGCCTTCGGCGGCTTCCAGGTGCTGGTGTGCCCTGACTGGGTGGGGGTAGGGGTGTGGCTGTGAGAGGCTAGGGCAGCCTTCTCTTCATCTCCCATCCCGTTAACCTCTGTGCCCTCTCCCAACCCTGCTGTTGCCCTGTCACCTTTCAGGTGCCATTCTCTGCTCCAGCTTGGGGTCCCAGACCCCTTTTCCCCCCTCCTCACCCTTGCCCCTGCCAGTTCCAAGCCCCTGGGACCTGGACATCACCACACACCGCCTAGCCGCTTTGAGCCAGCCTCTCCCCTAATTCCCCCAGGTGAGCTCCTAGCTCCTTCCTCCCTTCTCCACTCAACACGGCAGACCCTCAGGCTGGGGCAGGTGCTCTTGACCCTTTCCTCCCTCCCTGCTCCCAGGCCCAGAGGGGCGTTGGCTGTTCTCCACCTGCAGGGCCAACAGCTGACGCGGGCCCACACAGTGTGGCCGGGACTACACCGGCAGCAGTGTGGTGGTGACAGTGGGGCCGCTGAGCCTCTGAAAGGCGTGCAATTGTGGTGGGCACCGGGCGCCGGCCAGCCTCTGTAAGTGCGGAGCAGGAATAGACGAGGTTGGTGACCTGCGAATCTGAGGTTCTGTGGTCAGGGGAACCAAGGCTACGTACGCACCACTTTGTGTCTTGGAGTATTCCGCAGTGACAAGCGGCCAGGGCGGCTTTGTCCCTTCTTCCAGCGGAACCCGGGTAAAGGTGGCAATAGTCGCCACCAAATTAGCCGTACCCAGGAGCCTGTTTCTGCCAAGTGGAGTGTCCCTAACCAGCCACCAAGGGTGGCTTGAGCTTCCCTCCGTCTCCATTAAGCCTCGTGAAATAAGTGTAAAATCTAGGGAATTTCCTGCCAGTCCAGTGGTTAGGACTCTGTGCTTCCATTGCTGGGGGCCCGGGTTCAATCCCAGATCGAGGAACTAAGATCCCGCAAGCCGCGCGACGCAGCAAAAAAAAAAAAAGTAACATCTAATTTTATGGTGTGCATACCTAAGTCTCCCCATTCCTTCAAAATCGACTACGTCCTCCAAGTCCTTCAGATAAGAACTTCTGAAGCTGCCTCTGTCAGCAATCTCTGCCCTAGGCGGGCGGCCCGAGGGCCGATGGTCAAGGGCCGGGGACTCAGCGCCTGCTTTCCGCAGGATCTCAGCCTATGGAGCCGCGGGCGGCAAAGGTGCCAAGAACCACCTGTCACCGGCGCATGGAGTCTTCCTCTCCGCCGTTTTCCCCCTTGGTCGCGGGGAGCTGCCTTACATCCTCGTAGGGCAGCAGGAAGAGGACGCCTGTCCGAGAGTAAGCGGAGCCAGTGAGAGGGGGACGGCTCAAGCGCCCCAGGGCGAGGACTGGGTGGAAGGAGAGGTCGTTCCTGGGGTTAAGACCTCAGCACTGAGAGCGGAGGGTCCCGGACCCCCGCTGATTCCGGTCCCGGACGCCCGCCGGGGTGCCAGGAGAGCCAGCTCGTTCTGCCTCGGAGAGTCTCCGGCCGCTGAGGAGCACGCGGCGACGGAGGGGATCGGAGGGATTCCGGGGTCGCGGAGCTGGGCAGGAGTCGGAGTGGATGGGGGTTGCAACCGCCGTCTTTCGGGTACTTGCTTGCCTCGGCGCGGGCTGCTCCCGCCTCCAGCGCTCAGCGTTGAGGCCGCAAACCTTCCCGCGGGCGCGCACGCACACGAGCTCCTTGGCGTCCCCAGAGCCTTGGGCCTGGCTGGGAGCCCCTTCGTTTACTCCAGTCCCCGGGGTGGGGCCCTCACCCAGCGCCCGGGTCGTCGCTCGACTGCTAGAGGGCGCGACCCTGAACGCCGCTGCCGCGTATCTGCGCGCACGCGAGCTGGAGCCGCTGCTGGTGGCGGCCGGAGGAGGCGGTCGGGCGTACCTGAGGCGGGAGGATCGAGGCCGGACTCACCCCCGAAAAACTGCAGAACCGCTCGGCGGCGCCGGGAAGCGCGGGAGAGGCGGGGAGGAGGCCGTGCTCCCCCTCCCCGCGGCCGGCCATCCCGCGGTCTCTCTGCAGGTGGAGGAGACGGCTGGACGTCGCGGGTCCCCTCTCCGCCGGCCGGCCGCTCACCGCGGAAGGGAGCGGAGGGTGGCCAGGGCTGCAGGGAGGCCTGGGCTACGCTTGGCTGGGCCTCAGCCGGCGGCTTCACTGGAGACGGCGGCGGCCACCCGGGTAGGTGAACTTTTGGGGAGGGCACCTGGGCAGCCCCGAGGGTGAAGTGAGATTAGAGCCTTAGAACAGACCTAGTCCCTCTGGAGATAGTTGAGTTAGGAAAGGTGTTGAGCTAGCTCCAGGTCAGAGTAGGTAGAGTAACAGCTGTTAGAAAAGGAGGTCAGATAAGTTGCAAGTTACACGTGCAGGTAGGACTCCCTCGATTTTCTTTTACATCCAGGACCTTTGTCATCACAAGTCCCATCCTCGATCTGCAGCAGTCCCAGGAACTTACAGCTGGCTGAGTTAGCAGGCTGAGCAGGGAGGCAGAAAGGCAGGGATAGTTTAAGTCAGCAGTTCTCAAAGTGTGGTCCCTGAGCCAGTAGCATCAGCACCACCTAAGAAGTTGTTAGAAATGCAAATTCTCAGCCCCCTTCAACCTACTGAACCAGAGACTTTAGGGGAGGGTCCCACTATCTGTGTTTTAGTCAGTCCTCTAGGTGATTCTAATCCACTCCAGAGTTTGGAAACCACTGCTATAAAGAAACAGAGCCTTTGTGTCTGTCTGGGCTGTACTGTTCATAAGTACTTCATACGCATCGTCTCCATTATCACAGAAGTGGAATATGTGGGTTGGGCCTCTTCCATTTGATAGCTGAGGACATGAGATGAGAGAGGTTCAGACAGACAAGGAGCCATTCCAGCCGACGTGAACCAGGCCTTCAGATTCCAGCTGATGACTCCTTTCCCACTTCTCTGGCCCCTCAGCTCCCACATGCAAGCTGGCAGCACCTGTACTGTAATGTGAGTGTAGGGAAGGCCACACTGGGGTTTCCACCGGGAGACTCCAGCTTCCCCACTGTTCATAAGCCAGCTTCCCAGCTGTGAGGCAGCTGTGTGCCCCTTAATCCCCCCATTTTGTAGCCAAAACCTCTCTTTCAATTTCCAGGGGGCGATGCCTCAGAGGCTGACATCCTCTGGGCTGATGGGGAAGATGGGGTATCCTTCATACACCCCAACAGAGAGCTCTACCTGCAGCCTCTGCCAGGTGTTGGCTCCTATCCCCCACCTTTCAGCTAGCCTAGCCCTTTTCCTCAATCCCTCCCATCTGAGCCACCAACTCTGCACTGTGAACTACCTGTTCTTGCACAGCACAGGAATACTTGGGAACTGGGCTGTCAGTTGTAATGCCAGTATGGGGCATTCTGATCTGCTTGTCAAATATCTCTTGCTATGAATTCTCTTCAACTACCTGCAAACTCAAGGATCCCAGAAGAGGAAGCATACGGGCTTGACAGAAGTCCCCCAAGATCTCCCACCCACCCTAGATGCCTGGCACTGCTCCTTGTTCCAAAGTCCAGGGCTAAAATTAACCATGAGGCTGGAAAAAGTAGGTATGCCCCCCATGCTCACCCCGCAATATGAGTTCTTTTACTCATAGTCATGGAGAGCCATGGAGAGGTGGAGATTCGATTATACCTCAATCGCGGTCATTGCCTTTTGAAAATCTGCCAATGGCAGGCAGAGCTCCAGTTGGCCAGATGCATGTGCCCAGAGGGCATGGAGCTGGCTGCAGATAACATCACCTGCATGGGTATGTCCTGCCTGTGTCCGAGGTCTGGACTCCTGGGGCCATGGGCTGGGGGGAGCAGTAGGGCACGGGAAGGATGCCTGCTGTGTGCCAGGCACCATGTTGGGTGTTGGGCAGGGGATTGGAGGTGCATCTCTGCCTTCAAGGAGCACATAGTCTAATGGTCTAGTGTGTGAAGGGAGATATCTATCACTATCTCTAGATATACATCTACATTTATATCTAGATATATATCATAGTGACAATTGGCATGGGAGGTGTAAAGTATTTTAGGGGTTCTCAGGAGGGAGAGGCTGCATTCATTTAGGATAAGTGGGGAAAGCATCATGGAAAAGTTAACAATTGAGCTGAGTCTTGAGGCATGGGTAAAACTTGGGGTAGAGGGACAGAGAGGCGTTTCCCACTGGAGATGTGTCTTTCTCTCTAGACCTGCCCACGTCTCAGACCCTTTGATTCTGATGGTGGCTGTGATGTTGATCTTGACACTGAGACTCCCTATGGTGTGTGGGGTCCAGATTCTGGGTACGGAGCATCCAGCAAGCATGGCTGATTTCTTCACTGAACTGATGGGCTTCTATGGGGTCCCAGGGGCAGACATGGCTGATTTCAAGACATCTACTCCCAGCAGAGCTGTGGTGGACTCCTCTGGGGTTCTAAGAGTAGAAGGACAACATTTATCTTAATGGGCATCTGGAGAGGTGTCCTGGGAAGGGGGCGAGTCAGGGTGGGCCTGATGGCCAGGTAGAGAGTGTGCCGTTTTTCCTCCCACCCTCAGTGAACCATAAGAAGTGGCAGGGCCTGTGGTGGATGAGGCTGCCAGGCCCTGAGCTCCAGCTGAGCAAGCTCACCTCCACCATCAGGACAACCCCCAACCCCTACTACTTCCAGGTGGGGCTTGGCCCAGCCCAGTCCTGGCCTCTGCCCCCAGGGCTTACGGAGGTTTCCCAGTAAATATCACTCCGCTCAGCTGCGGCCTCCCCCTCCTTCTGAGAACCTGTGCACTCTGAATCCCCACCCTCCACCCTGCTCCCTGTTGTGGTAAATTATGGGTCCCAGAGAACGTCTCGTCCAAACCCCTTGTGTAGAGAAGATGAAGGTCAGAGAAGCTCCTAAAGGGAAAGTAGCCTGTCCAAAGTCAGCTGTCATCCCCAGTTCTGGGATGGTAGGGACCTTAGGATATGATTCCTTTGGAGCAGGGGTTGCCTCCGCCCCATGATGTCTGCAAGGACCTAAGGGAAGCCTTAGCACAGACTCCCACACCACCCCCTTACCCCACACCTGCCCCCTCTTCTGCCCTGGCTCTGGCCTAGTCACCGTCACCCTTGCAGAGTTTGTACTTGGGAACATGCCGTGATGCGGAGAGCTCAGACCCTCAGAGAGGGCCAGCTGGGCATATGGAGGGCAATCAGGGAGACAAGGGGGACCCTCGAGGACCCTCCCCAAACCCAGTCACCCACTCACTTCCAACCTGTCTTCCTGCAGAGCCCTGGGCCGTGGTGCCTTTGGAGAGGTCTATGCAGGACTGGTGATTGGCCTTCCTGGGGACCCCAGCCCCCTGCAGGTGACTATTAAGGTGAGAGGGGGTGGGGCTTCCAGCTGACAGTAGGAAAGAAGAGTCCAGGGAGGAAAGAACAGTGGCTGGAGCTAGGGTCAACCTGCCTTCCTGAAGTGTCCAGGGCGCTCAGGAGCTCTGCCCTCTTCCTCCCGAGACTCTGCCGGAACTCTGCTCTCACCAGGACCAGCTGGATTTCCTCATGGAGACACTATCATCAGGCACACCTGGGGCCAGGGGCAGGCGTGGAAGGTGGGAGGAAGGCACCCAGAACTGCCTGCACAAATAGCCTGTCTTCACCCTGGGGCTGAGAGGTAGCAATTCTAGAGACACAGAGGTTCACTCCAGTCTGTGGAGCCTAGAGCGTGGTTTCTCTCCCTGCTGGTGATGGGATATGTGCACCACTGGCTCAACAAGGTCAGCCATCAGGACACTGCGCTGCGTGGGGCTCAGCATCCAGGCTGCCCCTGGCTCAATTCTGCTGGAGTTGATGTCTGGAGGGGACATGAAGAGTTTCCTGAGGCATAGGTGGCCACGGCTGATGAGACCCTTCTCCCAGCCCGCCAGGCCCCTCTGAAGACCCTGTTCATGTGTCCCCAAACCTGCATGGTCTGATGCGCCTTCTGCCTGACCCAGGGCCAGCCATCACCTTTAGCCATGCAAGACCTTCTCCAGCTGGCTTGGGACATAGCCCAGGGTTGCCACTACCTGGAGGAAAATCACTTCATCCACAGGTTGGAAGTGATCCTGGTTCTGGGGACCCCGAGCCCAACTCCTTCCCCAAGGAATAGCCCTTCCACATAACTTTTAAAGAAAAGATCAAGGCTGGAGTTTCTCAGTTCTGGCAGTGAATTTTTTACCTGACTCTGCAGGGACATTGCTGCCAGGAACTGCCTGCCGAGCTGCACCAGACCCAGCCAAATGGCCAAGACTGGGGACTTCGGGATGGCAAGCACTATCTACAGGTGTAGGACCTGGGGATGTGGAGAAGGCTGACGCTCCAAGGGAGTTTACCAGCACCTTTGGGCCATTTAAACAATTCATCACTCCTCTCCTCCCTCATGTAGGGCCAGTTATTAACGCAAGGGGAGCCAAGCTCTGCTGCCTGTCAAGTAGATGCCCCCGGGGGCCTTCCTGGAGGGCATCTTCACACCCAAGACAGACTCCTGGTGATAACACGCCCTCCCCTGCCTTGGGCCACCTCTTGTGAGGGAAAGGGAAGCTGTGCCTGATGGGCCTCACTTAGTTCCTCCCACTTGTGATGCAGGTCTTTTGGAGTGCTGCTCTGGGAGATCTCACTGGACTACGTGCCCTACTCTTGGCACACCGATCAGGAGGTGCTGGGCTTTGTCATCTGAGGGGGATCGATGGACCCTCTCAGGGGCTCTCCAAGGCCTGTGTGAGTATGGAGTGTTGGCTCAGGAGGGAGGTCTTTCACAGCCATGGGTTGGCATGAACTCCTGCCTCTCCCCAGGTACCATTTCATGACCCAGTGCTGGCAGCGTGAGCTTGAACTTCACCCTAGTTTGCCAGCATCTTGGAGGTCTTCAGTACCGCACTCAGGTGTGCCCCCTGACCTGTCCCGACCACCCTGGACTAGGGGGTCAGGAGGGAAGCCATAAAACAACACTGTGGCCCCCTGCTCCCCTACCTTCCCATTACAGAACCCTGATGTGCTGAATTCACCCCTTCCAGTGGAATTGGGACCCATCCTGGAGGAGGAAGGGGCTGGGGAGCCTATCTTTGGGGGAACTAAGATGTCCACAGACCCAAGAACCAAGTTTGGGGAGATTGAAGAGCTGGGGAGGGAACCTCCTTGGCCCCTGGCCTCAAGCCCTCCAAATCCAGGGGTCTCCAACCTCAGAACCTTTGGAATCCCACCTATGGTTCCTGGGTCCCAAAGGGCCCTGAGGGTGAGGACTCTGGCACTGAGGGTAGCAGTTCCTCCCTGTACTCCTCCCCAGGCTTCTAGGTGGCTTATGTTCCAAGTAGCCTCTGTCTCCCACAGTCTGTGCTGTATGTCTGGGCCTGTATATCTGCTGGCCTGGCACCATGGACCCTCCATCCTGGAAACCAGTCTCAGGCCTCCTGGGCAAGAGTCTGGCCACTCCCAGCCTTTGATATTTGGGACCAGAGGATACTCCCCCAACTCCCAGGCGTAGGTGGAGAATTGAAATTGCCTCCTGCAGGAAGTCTTCTCTAGATTGCCTTTACCCCACTAGCGTCCTCCATCTGGGCAGCCCCCAACACTACAGATACCTCTAATAAAGAGCTCTTCTTATATCCTCCAGTGATCTGAGTGGATGTGAGGGATGCCAGGGAACTGAGAAAGAAGGGACCAGAGGAGGGAGGGGATGAGGCCTGAGTCAAAGCTGGTGTCTTTGAGTTTTATTGGGAAGGGGAGTCCATTGTAGTGTGGGAGGCCAGACCAATAGATCTAGTACCTGTGAAATAAAGTTCATTATCTGGCTTCTCTGGAGAGGTATGGAGCCCCCTCAGAAGAGCTGGGCTGAAGAAGAAGCCACTCATCCCACTTCTACTCCTCCCTTGCCCGGTAAATTAGTGTCATCAGCTCTGGGAACACTGGGGCTTTTATGGGGGCCAGGCCCTGCGCGTGCAGTGTGTCCTGTAGTGGTCGGCACCTGGCCCTATAGGACCGTATGAACCGCCCCGCACCGCGGGGTTTCAGTCTCTCGCCTGCATGCATGGCGGGGATGCAGGCGCATGTCCTTCTGTCAGACCCTCCGGTCCGTGGGGACAGGGGCCCAGCCTCATCTCTCAGCTAGGCTGGCCAGGATGCCAATGAGATTGTCCAGCCCCAGCAAGTAGCCGTCCTCTCGGTTGCCCTCCTCCCAGGGCCGCCGGTGGTCCAGGGTCTGGCCGTCGGGAAGGGGCGTGGTCTTGCCGAAGTCGATGAGCCATACGCCGGCGCGGTGGCAGTGATCATGCACGAAGAGGAGCGAGCTGCCGATCACCTGCCGAGTCCCACACCGTCAGGCTACGGCTCTAATCCGGAGAAGCCCTCCACCCTATTCCTTCACAGACCACAGACCCGGTACCTGAGCCTACCCCTCTTACCTCGTGCTTCCTAAAGAACTCAGAGACCTCCAGTGTGTCCCGGATCTGCTGCAGGCGGTTCAGATACCTCCTCTGGAGAGGGTAGAGTAGGAGAGGAGAACAAATTAACTGAATACCAGTTGAACCTCTGCGAATATGAGGAGCGCCATGATGCATGTTTGGCTTGGCAAATACCGTGGTGAGGAAGGCACAGGCCCCCACGTGGCGCGCAGCCCAGAAGGGAAGGAATGTAAAGCAATTACAACACAATGCGATAAATGCTATGATGGGGGTCACATAGGCTAGGGTGCTACATAAATTGACCTGACCTGGGGACACCCCTAGGTATCAGGCTCCCCAACACCTCAGGGTTCTGGGATCCCGCGCTCACCAGCACTTCGGCATCCCCTTGCACAAACTCCTCGAAGACGCGAATCACCTGCTCCCGGCTTCGCGTGGTCTTGAAGTCTGTGCTGCAGGAGCCGTCGGCTTTCTGTAGGAGGTGGGCAGAAATTGTCAGGGGCCCCGTGCCCGCCCGAGGGGAGAGGATCAGGCCAGAGCAGCGGTACCTCCCGGGACGTTGAATGCCAGGGACAGCGAGACTGCCGCCAGAGGCTTGCCTCTTCCGGGGACTGTCAGGGTGGGAGGTCAACATGGAGGACAGACACCGCACAGTGGGGCTGGGGCGGGGGAAGGGCCCGGGAGGTGCAAGGCGAAGCGGGCCTGGCTCACCTTAATGCCCTCGATGCGGAAGCCGAGCGTGGTACTGGAGCTGATACCTTCTCGCCACTGCATGTAGCGCGGCTTAGTGACCGCGCGCTGCGCGTGCTCCTCCTCGGTGGGTGCCGCAGGGTCTATGGCCAGCATCTTCTTGTACATGTCCTTCCGCAGCTTGGGCCGCTCGCGGGCTTTGGTCAGCTCCTCTTCCAGGTAAGTCCTACGGAAGCGCAGACAGCGGCGGGGCTTGAGCAGGCGCACACCCGGACCCTGTAAAGCACGGCCTTGGGCACGCGTAGAGCGCTCGTTCCCGCCCCGGGCCCTTTACAGGTTCCCACCTGCCCGGTAGGGCACGCGTACCTGACGCCCATCTTGCAGTCAAGTACGCAGGGCCCATCGAAGCCGTCGAGCAGGTCCTGCAACTGCAGGTAGCTCTCGCCGTCGCGCTCCACCACACCGTGGAAGGCGGGCACGCAGCCGCGCAGCGCGTCCGCCATGAGCCGTGCCAGGCAGTAGCGCTCGGGCTCTGAGCTACGCTTCAGAATCATCCCGCTGCTGCCCGCCTTGAAACTCCCTGCGGGCAGGCGCTAGTTAGTGCTGCCTAGTCCCTTCCTCCCCGCCTCCACCCACCTCCCCCGTGCCTGCTCCGTGCTCACCCGTGTGCCCTGCCAGCTGCACCCAGGAGTAGCGCTTCTTGAAAGGGCTCATGACGGGCAGATTCACCATGGTCCGGATCTTCTGCCAGTGGCTTTTCTGAAAGCGACACGGTCCCGGTCTGTAAGTTAGCGTCTGCATAAGCCCTCCTTCCTCTGGAACACGGTCTCGCCCAGCCCAACCTTACAATAAGCAGCTAGGGCCTGATGAGTCAATCATTCATTCGCTCAGGGAAAGTTTATTGTGAGCCTGTGTGGCGGACCCTGAGACAAGCACATGCAGTTGACAGACATCCAGCTCTTCAGTGTGCTGAAAAGAGCCCTGGGCTCAGTGTCAGAAAGCTCACGTTTGCACCCCAGTTCTGCTGCTCCAAAGCTGCATGGACAGGTTACTAAACTGCTCTGTCAAGGTTTTAGGACTTTTGTGAGCATGAGAATCACATGATGGTCACTCTTATTTAAAAAAATGCAGATTTTCAGGTCCACCACAGGGAAATTCTGAGCAGTCTGGGGTGGGACCAAAAATTTGCATTTCTACCAATGCCTCCGGATATTCTGCGGCCTGAGAAGCCTCTGAGCTCAGTTTCTTCATCTGTAAAATAGGGAAATAACCACTCTCGCTGGGTTGTTGTGAGTGGTAAATGAGGCTTGAGTGTGACAGATGCCCCCACCCCCACCCCATTCCTTGGCATGAAGCAGTAGCTGGACAAATCTGGGTTATTGTTTCATTTACTTGGGACCATTGGTTCCTCTCATTTAAGGAGAAAGACAAACATGGAAACAAACCATTACATAGGCCCAGGGCAGGGAGGCCAGCCTGGTAGGGCCTGGAGAAAGAGTGGCTTGGGGCTCCCCAAGGCCCTCTTGCTAATCCCTGGATGCCATCTCACTCCTAGCCAGTTGACAAGGCCCAGGGCACCCTTAGTCCTGATCTGGACCCAGAAACCTGGGCTTTGAAAATGGGATACAGAGCTGAGGGTCTGTCATCTTAGATGAAATTGGGAGGGAAATGTAGATTTTGGTGTACCTTTTGCCTCTTGACCATTGTGTCTAGCCTTCAGCCAGTCCCGAGAGTATCTCATACTCTGGACCTTTCCTCTTCCCACCCCAAACTCATCAGTCCTGTGTCTACCCACTGAAGTGCAGAGGTTTGTTCATGCAAACGTTGTGTCTGCTGCCTCCTCCCAGGGTGCCTGCCTTTTAGAGGAGTTACACATGTGTGCCTCCACAAGCGTGGAACCCAGGAATCCAGCTTCCCTGACCAGAGGGTGTTCTAACAGGGAGAGGGAGAACTGGCATGCTGGCCTAAGCAGGGGAGGCTGATGACCATAAAACGCCTTTCCGTGGGGAGGAGATGGAAGTTAGTGACAGAGCACTGGACGGGGAGTCTGGAGTTGGTTCCAGTCCTGGCTCTGTCACTTTCTATCTGAGTGAACCCAAGGGAGAATTTCATCTGTGTGAGCCTGTTTGCTCTGGACCTAGCTGTTGCCATAACACGAGCCACCATTTACTGACCGCCTACTGCATGCCAGGCACTTTTCGTCTCCATCAGACAGCATTGCTCCTGTTTTCCTACTGAAGTCCCTACATGGCACACTAGGGTGTGATCACTTGTCCAATCCCTGGGGATCTGGGGGTGTAGCCAGAAGCAGCCCACTAGAAGCATGACATCTCTTTCAAAACTCCCTTTTTCACTCTTTAAATACATACAAGGTTTGCATTATGCTGCATAATAAATCCAAGTTTTATTATAAAACTCTCCCACCTCCGAATCCTCAAATAAAATTCCAGGAAGATGTATGTGCTGTGTGTACTGAGTGGCACCATCCTATACCCTCTTCCCCCACACTCAGTTTGAGATTCGTTACGCTGCTGCACAGGCCCAGCAAGTGCATGAGGTGGTAATTATTGCCATTTTACAGAAGGCAGTCAAAGTTCAGAGAGTTAACATCCCCTCCATCCCTGCTCCCAGCCCCCAGTCTCTGCCTTAAGCTCCAGTTCAACCCCCTCCTCATGCTTCAATTGCCCCAGCAGGTTCCAAAATCCATGCTACCACCCAGACTTCCTTTAGGGGTCAAAGGGGACCCTGCGGGAGAAAGAGTTTTGTACAAGATGAAGCAATTTGCAGCCACAAGGTGGTATGTTTTAATCACTGAGGAAACACTGAGATCTGTCTGGGGACCCCTCTCTGTTGGCTGGACACTTTTGCTTCATCCAAAGGGATGGGTTTAATGGTGGGGCTTCGGGCAGCTTTAGGGACTTACTGGCAGAATTTGGGGGACAGTGGGACCAGAATGGACTTCATCAGAGGGTACGTCTAGTTCTGTAGCCACCCTAGTAGAAGAAGGAGCCAGCCTTGGGTTAGGTGAGATGGGAGAACGGCATCATCCTTTCTTCTGGGATCATGTGGGAGCGGTGAGTGAGGCTGGAAGGTGGAAGCTGTGCCTGGTAGAAGAGGATTTAGTCCCTGCAGTCCTGGGCTACTGACACTTGATTAATGTGTGATAACATAGCACTGACTTGCTCCCAAGCTGAGGTAACGTGGGGTCATCTCTCCACTCTCCCCACCACAGTTTTGTGAGGATCGTATCAGCCAAGAGCATCAAAGACTAAGGCTGGTTCCAGCCATGTGGGTTACAAAGGGCTTTCACACCCATAATGCCATCTCAGCCCTCTCAGCCACCTCTTGAGGTTGGTTGGTAGTGACAGGATTTAGTTCTTCTGCCAGTAATGCGTATGGTCAAACATGGAAGGAGTTGACGCAAGTATCATGGAACTCTGTCGTCTTCCATCTTAGGGAGCTACCTCCCCCAGGGAACATAATGCATATAAAGATGCATGTATCCAAAAAGGTTCTGGGAGAATCATTCTTTGGTGGGTGGGTGGGGATTTGGGCACACGAACAACAGCAGGGAATATATTTTTGAGCAGGTAAGGCTTTTATTGTATGAATATCAGAAAGCAGATTTATTATGTTACAGAGTGAAATCTAGCTGAAAAGAGGGCTAAAACTCCATCCTCTGGCATAGTCTATTCCGCCACAGAAGTCTGGGAAAGCCGCTCACAGCCAAGAGGCTACCCAGACATCTTGGGACAAAAAGCTCAGGAGAGCTGACCATGTGAAAGAGTCTTTGATGAAATCACAGGAGGACCCTCCGATACTTCCTCACTCATGGAGCTGGACAGGGAGCATCTCTCTCTGGGCAGGGTTTAGCTGGATATTAGCCTCAGACCCTCCTTTGTCTGAGCTCTATTTGGAAGCCCTGAGGACTCTCCTCCTTCTCATATCACACCAGATATTCAGTGTATCTTCTGCCAGAACGGATCCTTTGCTTGTCTTTGGTATTCATCCCCATCCTTCCTGACTTCTACTCCCTACCTCCAGCTGTCCAGACTCTGGCTAAAGCTCTCTGCCACCCAACCCCTCCCCATGTTCCCAATACTCTATCAAATAAGCACTCCTGGTGGCAGTGGTGATGAGAACAATCCGTTTAAATTTATAAGATGATTTGCACTAAGGTATAAGTGACCCATGACTTCACCCTCCCAGGGGCATCTGCTTTTTAAAAAGGAAGGCTGTTAACCTAAATTCTGCTCTATAATTAGTGAGAAGTGAAGTGTGGGAATTCTGGGTCCAGGACAGGATCGAATCCAGGTCTCCTTACCCATCCTGGAGCACTGAGAGAAGAGAACCAAATGAACAAGAGTCAAACACCCTCTCTTCTGCTAGAGCAACATCCCAAAATTGTTTTGATAGGCAGACAAGGCCTAAGAATACAGTCATGCCAGCCACCCTTGGGGATAGGGCCCCAACTCCTCTCCTGGCCTGTATGGTTTTCCCTGCCCATGACTCTTCCCTCTACCGTAGGAAAGGACCCAGCAGGGAGGCAGGCTGCCCAGTCCCAACTACCTTGCGGGGAGCCCAGCTCCAGGCTCTGGGAAGACTGTGCGTAGCTCCTAGGAAGAGAAGTGAAGGATGTACAAGCTGGGCAGAGCCTCCCCTCTCTTCCCGTTGTCCACCCAGGCCTGAGTTGTAAGGGGCTGGCGAGCTGGGAGCTGCCGAGCACTGCCTCAGCACCCTTCTCCCAGGTGCACCCTTAACGGTCAGCCAGCCGATGGGCTCTGCTTCCTACCTGGGGAAGCCCTAAAGGCAGCCTGGGCGGGCGCACTGTGGCGCTCCCGGCCTGGCCGCGAGGCAAAGTCCGAGCCGGGCCCTCCACGCAGACGCAGGCGGCCTCTGTCAACAGCCCCCGGCTTATCTGCCGCTGCCTCGGCTGTTTGCCTTCGGGGAGGCCCCGGCGTGCTGGGGGTTGGGAAGGCCTGGGACTCGCCGCCTCGGAGCTGGAAGGGCTCTCAACGGCCATCTGCTCCAGCTCCTGCCGCCCCGGGTGACAGCGAGGCCCAGAGTGGGAGAGGCCGGCCGAAGACGCCCAGGCAGAGCTGCGACTGGTCCCCGGAGTCTTGACCCAGGCTGGCCTGTCTACGTTGTACACGGTCCTGGGCCGCGGGACCTACTCCGCCTTTGGGAGGAAGAGCGAAGCTGGGGGCTTCCCTCCTGGCTCCCTTCCTCCAGCGCCCGCCTCTCAGCTGTCAGAGATTTGAGCGGGGGAGCGGTGGGCCCACAGCTACTGCTCCGGGTTTTTGGAGGTGGGGAGGGAGGAGTCCTCTCACTGCCCCACATCACCGCCTTAGAAACCACTGGGCGGCACCCGCCTCCCTTCAGGCGCCAGGGTTGCACCAAGAATGATCCGGGATCAGGCGTACCCTTACGCCGGGGGAGGAGAGAGGGACTCCCCGCACCCTACACCTGGTGGCGGAGTGTGTTCCTGCTCTATGAGACTCTTCCCTTCTTCCTCTTGTGTCACTTACAAACCACGCCGCCCTCTGGGTAATGTAAGTCTCAGGGGTAACTGAGTCACGGAGCCACAGCAAGTCATTACAGTGACTCCCGCGCCTCGTCCAATCCGAGCGCGGGGGGAGCCCAGGTTCAGCAGGCCCCGGCAACCCCGGCGCGCGTCCGCCGCTCTCACCGCCCTTCTGGGCAGGCCCCGAGCCACCAGAGCCGGCGGGGAGCCCTTCGCCTCTCCCTCCACTACAGGGACACTTGCATAACGTGGATCTAGAGCAACTCCTTCGCGTTGACCGCGGATAGTTACGTGAAGTATTTGGCCTTGGTTAAAACCAGGGGGACAAGACGGCTATCCTGGGCGCGGCACATGCGGGAGGGGCAGGCACCGGGAATGACTTCACCGCACCCTAGCCTGGGTTATCCGAGGGTCAAACCTGGCCCCGGAACATCCAGGCTACCAGAGGCGGAGGTCAGCAGGCTGGTCCCACCCTTTCCGCCTCAGTTTACCTTCTCCCGGGCCAGAATTAGGAGGAGTAAAGCGGAGGAGGGCTGCGTTCCGCCCCCTGCCAGAGCTCCCAGTCCCGCGCCCCTCCCTTCCCTGCGTCCACGCCTGGTGCGGGCGCCGGGAGCAGACGGCGGCGGCTAGCGAGCAGAGCCTGGAGCGCGGCTCCACTCCCACTCAGGAGAGGGAAACCGTGGCAACGGCGGGGGTGGGGCCGCGGCGCGGGAGAGGGGGAGGCAGAGAGGGAGACTCGTTGACCCCACTCTCCGAGAGTTCGTGGGGCAACGCTAAGCCCCTCCGATCCCTCCAACCATCTCTCAGCCAGCAAGTCACGCTCCCCCCCCGCCCCCTCCCCGCTCCCCGTGGCGGGTCGTAGACTCCTCCTTACTCTCTTAGACGCCCCAGGGCCCGGGCCGCGACTCGCCTGTGGAACCGGGGTGACCACTGTAAAGGTGAGGGGTCGGCCCGGCGCCTCCCTTTGGCCCCAATGCCCTCCTAAAGAGTGAGACTCGGACCCGCCGGGGAGGGAGCTTAGGGCAGGAGTTGGTCCGCAGAGAGCTCAACGCAGGTCCCCGCACGCAGCCCCCGCGCCCCACGCTGGCCCCGCCCCCGCGGCCAGTACCTGACCCACGTCCTCGCTCGTTTCCAGCTGCACGTTGCCGCGGCTCCGGCTCTCGCTGTCGCTCAGAAGATCGTCCTCCGAGTCCTCGGGCAGCGACGAGGAGCCAGTGGAGGAGAGCGACGAGGTGGAGAGGCGGCGCGGCTGCTGCAGGTGCGACGAGCCCACGGCCGGGAGCCAGCCACCCTCCGGCTTGGGCGGCCCGGGGCTGGCCGGGGTCACGTCCGGCTCCTCGGCCGTCACAGTCAGCTGCGGGATCACCGGGGCAGGGGCAGCCCGCGGAAGCCCGTTGGGGATCTGTCCCCCCCGCCGCTTGGCCCCGCGGTACCGGGGCTCCCCTGCGGCGGCGGCGGCAGCGACCGCGGCGCAGCGCGCCTCGAAAAGCAGGCGCAGCTCCCCGACACTCCGGCGCGGGGCCCGCTCCAGCCCGGGGCTGCAGGGCCCCGCGCCTCCCGGTCGCGCCATGCCCGTCGGGCCCCCGGGCAGGGTCATTTCCCAGCAAGAGAGCCGCCGGGGAGCCCACCAGCCCGCGGCGCGGCGGGTACTGGAGCCGCTCGGCGCCCCAGGCTTGAGACTGCCCCGAGGCGGAGCCTGCGCGGCCGCTCGCCTGGGCCCCGCCTCGGCCGCGCCCCCCGCCCACTCCTTTCACTTTCAGAGAAAGCGCGGGCCTCCTTGGGCTCCTGCCCAGAAGGGAAGGCTCCCTGTTGCTCCTCCGGGTGGCCGGGAAGCCCAGACCTCCTGGAAACACACAAAACCCGGGCCTGGCCCTGGCGGCCTCTCAGTGCCCACTCTCGAGAAGACCGGAGGGGCTGCTCCGTCCCACGCCGTGCCGCGTCCCCGGGAGATTCCTCCTGGCAACTCCAAGGGCCCCGACCCCGCAGGAGAGGAGCTGGTCCAGCTCTTGCTCTCGCACCCAGTCCCTGGGGCTCCTTTCCGCGTTCCACTCATCCCGGGCTAAGGCTTCCAGGTCTCCGGGGCTTTTCTCGCCCGGGGCCCCTTCGGCACAGAGTTCAAGGCCTTCGGCTTCCCAAAGAAGCCTCACCCCAGGGCATGTGCCCAAGTGGGGACTCTGTCTTGGGAACAAGCTGAGGCTTCTCCCCCTCCCTACCCCTCCAGCTCCCCACTTCCCGGCTGGCAGAGTAAAAGGTCAGGGGGCAGGACCCGGATCTCTCCAGGTTTTCCTGGCAGAGACCTGGGCAGCATCCCTGGCTGCTGGCTGGCGAGGGCTGAGCCCTTCTTCCTCCTTTCCTTTTGGAGTTCGGGGCTTGGAGTCTGCTGTGGGGCTGTAAGCAAGTCATTTCACCTCCTTTGAACTGCTGATTCTCCTTGGCAGGGTTGTTGTCCACCTCACAGGATTGATGTGAGAATGAAATGAAAGATGTGCTATCTCTGAAACGTTGGAATAATTTTAGTGTGAGTGGTAGAAAGAGCCAGCCTCAGGTTCACCACACCCCAGATGTGATTTTAGGCAGTCTCTTCACCTTTCTAAGTTCCATTTTCTTACTTGTAAACATAGGAAAACCTCACCTGACCCACAGAGTTGTGGCTGTGAAACTGGGAAGAGGGTGCTAATGGCGGTGAAGGATCTCATACACTGCAACGTTCTCAGCAGTGGCATCATAGTGGCGGATCTTCCGTCACTTTGCATGTTAGCGGTCAGCTGAGCTGCAAAGGCTGCTTTGTGTAGAAGTCAGCATTTCACAGCATTTCCTGTTTTTCCCCAAACGCCATGAGTGAGAATCCCTCATCAGGTGCCCGGTGCCTAGGGGTTATTGGGGGACCTCTGGGGAGACTGCCCTCAGAAGGACGGCCTCTGAGCTGATGAAGGCCAAAAGGAGGAGCTTTCCTTTCGTTATCTCCCTTCAGCCAGAATTCAAGGATGGCCCAGGAGGAGAGAAAAGGAGGGTTCAGAGAGACAGTGGGAGCCTTCAGCAAAGAAGAAAGGAGAAGATCCCTGAGGGGGAATTGATGAAGAAGGTAAAAGTGTGGAAGAAAGAGTGGGAGGGGGAGGAAGGAGGAGAAACTGAAGGATTGAAGGAGTGAGAGAAAGAAGGAAATACAGGAGTCTGAATACTTAAGTCTTCTGTGGAGAACCTGGGAAGACACATGGCTATTTCTCTGGGACACAGAGGTCTGCAGGAACCTGGGTGTTTGGGTGACGGGTGTGTACTCAAGGGCTTGAAGGCCCAGAAACACCCATGTCTCTTGCTCTCACTTCTCTCCCTCCTTCAGAGCTACCCTGCTTAATGGTGGGAGCTGGGAAGGTACTGCCCTCAGAGAGGAGACTGGGGGCAAATCCAGGGTGGAGAGAGTCAGCAAGGACCTGTCAGAACTGGAAAGGTGGGAAGAGAAGCGAGAGGAGGGAACATGTACTCCACACCTGTGTGCCAGTCAATGGATGGGCAATGTTGGAGGCATGAGCAGGCTGGGAGCTTGTGTCAATTTGGCCACCACAAGAAAACTCAGGGCAATTCCTTTTTCTTCTTGTATTAGGCACTTGTCCAAGGCCAGCGACCAAAGAAGAGGTCTTTGCCGCACCTGCCCAGGTGTTCCTCACTGGGAAGGTAAGGGCAAACCTGGGAATTGCATATTGAAACGAGAGTTAATTTCATAGATTTTAGAGTGGAAGTACTTTTAGATGCCTCTATCATCCTCACAGTACAGCAGAAGTAACAAAGGGGTTAAGTGACTCAACCAAGGAGGTTAAGGCACTTGTGCAAGGCCACACAGCTAGTTGGTGGAAAAGCTAGAGTGTATCCTAACTTCTATTCCTGTGCTATGCTCAGTTTCTTAAATTAACAACTTGTAGTTCAGTCCCTAGTTCCTTATCCAGTGAAGGCAGAGTCTGCCTCCACCTACCACAGGCAGAAAGCATAAGGGGGCAGGGTTTACCCCTAAACCCAATATAGCTGTGGGACAAGGTCAAGGGGTTCTCACGTCCTCTTAGGTGAGCCAGGAATGACCTTTCAAATCCTGGAATCCTGTTTTTGTGCCTGTTTTCCCAGTCCTTGAAGCTGAGTAGATGGATGTGAGTAGAGGGGGGTGGAAAAATCAGACTGACTACTACCTAGGTGGAGGAATGGCCTCTTGTGTGCTGCAAAAAAATGGAGGTATGAGAGCAAAGAAGAATGTTTCACAGTTTTGATGGTCATTAGGTGGCTGATCTGAGATGGGCCATGGGAGTCCCTTATCCACAAGGTCTTATCCACAAGGTCAGCTGTGTGTCTGAGAAGAGAACTGATCTTTCTTCTTCTTGTGGCCTCTCAGTTCAGCGATCCTCCTGAACCCTAGAGGCCTGCATCCTGGGGTGTCTGAGTCTTCACCTCTCTCCATGTCCTTCAGGACTTATCAGGCATGAGGGTTACATCCCTCCTGGAGGTAACAACCCTGGGGCACAAAAGCTGGAGAAAGGGGCGCCTAAAGAATGGGGTGTGTGAGGTGAGGTGCTTCTGGTTTTTTTCCCTAGCCTGCCTCATTTAGCTTTGTTCCTCCTCTACGCAACCCACAGGGCAGCACCAGTGGCCTCAGGGGCAGGAGCAAGGTCACCACTCACCATCTCTATGCCAGTTTCTGCTTCCCAAGACCCAGAGGCAGGGCCTCTCACCTGTGGGAGAGGGGATGAATGGGCCACCTGTTTTTTGTTGGTTTTTTTTTTTTTTTAAATATTTATTTATTTATTTATTTTGCCTGTGCCGGGTCTTAGTTGCGGCATGCAGTATCTAGTTCCCTGACCAGGGATTGAGCCCGGGGATTGAGCATTGGGAACGTGGAGTCTTACCCACTGGACCACCAGGGAAGTTCCCCACCTGCTGTTTTGAGGGGATTTGAAAGCCTCTCCAGAGAGAGCCTAGCTTCTATGTTGTGTGTGTGTGTGTGTGTGTGTGTGTGTGTGTGTATGTGTGTTGGGGAGGCAGAGGGGAGGCATATGCTCCTTTAGACCAGGTGGTACAGGGTCTCATTCTAGTCAACAACTCCCAGACATGCTCTGTGGTGCTTAGTTTAGTGTCCTCCAAGGGACTTTCTGACCCCAGGACTCCAATATTCTGTGACAATACCTATGACTCATTCATCATTTACAGAGCAAACAAACTTCCACTGAGCAGCTGCTATGAACCAGGCATTGTGCTAAGGTGAAAGGGATACAGGAATGAGTAGCTCCTTACCAGGAGTGGTGGTACATCATTTTACATTGTCTTCTGATGGAGGGAAGCGAGAAAGGACCCAACAGAAAACAGCTCCCAGGATGATAAATGGCTGTATTTACTGTTTCCAAGGGACTTTCAGTGAGACCTTGGTCTTTCAGCTGCTTCATGCAAACAATTCCCCAACCCTGGTCAGTCTGTTGCCCTTCTCTGCCCAGGGCACGGTAGAGAGAGTGCTGGAGGGCTTCCCAGAGCCAGGGCCCAATGAAAACTTGCAGACGGGGAAGAACTGGAGGTCTCTTTCCTCCTGGAAAGAAAAGTGAACAGGGCTTCCCTGGTGGCGCAGTGGTTGAGAGTGTGCCTGCCGATGCAGGGGACACAGGTTCGTGCCCCGGTCCGGGAAGATCCCACATGCCGTGGAGCAGCTGGGTCCGTGAGCCATGGCCTCTGAACCTGCGCGTCCGCAGCCTGTGCCTCACAACTGGAGAGGCCGCAGCAGTGAGAGGCCCGCGTACTGCAAAAAAAAAAAAAAAAAAAGTGAACAGCTGTCTTCATTTGACAACCCAAGACCCTTTTCCTTGCCTCCGGGTTTCTGCTCCTCCCCACGCAGTCTCTGACCCCATAATTGATAGAATTTGTGGGAATATCTTCTGACAGTTTAGCAGGACTTGGGATCTAATAGTGTTCACTGACCTGCCACCATCTGAATCACTCTCCTCTAAAACGAACAAAATGTGTCACCACGCCTGTGTATGTTCAATAAGAACATTTTCTCTCCTGACACACTTCAGAAACAAGGTTTCCCATCCCTCCCAGGAGCCTGTGTTCCTGTGGTTCTCCCTCCTCCCTCTCTGCAAAACTCAGAACCCGCAGAATCTCTCCCAGTGGCCAAGCGGAGGCAGAGGGGATTGGTAGCGTCTGAGGTCAGGGACGCGAGACGCGGCCCCCAGTGTCGAGGCGATTGCTCTAAGAACGTTCAGGGTGCAGTCGTCCTCCGTCCCCCACGTCCCTACCAGGGCACCTTTGGAATCTTGTAACCGCGGGAGGTGGGCGCATCCCCTAATTCCATTTGTGATCTCCGCCTGCCAGAGTGACCTCCACCCCAGGTGCGCGGAGACCGAGCCCACAAAGCCTCCGGTGGCTGGGTGGAACCGGGAGGCACCGGGAAGCTACGCGCACGCCCCGGGTCCGTGGAGCAGATGCCCACTCCACCTCGGCGTTGGCTGCAGGGGCGCCCCACGCCACGCGCCAGGAGCGCGCCTGCGAGCTGAGGCCCCTACTCCCAACTGTGGGAAGCCGCTAGGACGCGCGCCCGGCAGGGGTCCCCACACCTAGAGCCGCGAGCGCGCGCACGTGCAGGCTGCGGGGTCGGCCCCGCGCGGCACTCGGACCCGGACTCCAAGGTC